CCACATAGCTAACTCTTCAATCCTCATTTCATGGGTGAACGACAAATTTATGGTAAATTATTTTCGTTTACAGCGAATCACGAGGGCGATGATGGAGGGTGGTAAGTATGAATGTCGATTGAAAAGTACACGAGCACGCGCATCACGTGGAACGGATGCAGCTGATGAGCAAAGTATAAAAGGCGACACAACTCAGTCCACAAGTCAGTATCAAGTAGACTGCAAAAGAAATGGGATTCGGGTGTTGGCAGCAATGTGAGAAGCCGTGGGGATGGTGGCCTGTGGTGCCGCAATGTGGCCAGTGGTGGGGTTGGCCGTTTGTGGTGAAGCAATGGGACATGTCGTGTGGCCAGTCGTGCGGATGGTTGTCTGTAGTGCCGCAATGTGGCCAGTCGTGGGGTTGGCCGTCTCAGTGGTAGACGGTTACCACGACCGTGTCTTTCTGCATACACTGTAGTTTGTGAAGAAGTCTCCAACTCTCGTGGATTCGGAGGAGCTAGCTGATGGTGTGGAAGCATGCCTCCAAAGTCCCGTCTTGTTGTACTTGCGCGATTATTTGTACTATCTCCGTATGACATTCCATGCAGAAACCCAAAACCGTTGACATAATTGGCTAATAGTCTATAAAAATACCTAACTCTTTATTCCAAAATAATGCAAAGTCTCAGCGCTAGTTCAAGACAAGATGATGCAATTACTTCCAAATCCACCGTTGAAGCAGATGATGTCGAAACTGATGGCAAGCCTGTGATTAGGCATGTGACAAATGCAATGATGATTGTTTGCCATGCTTTTACACCTCTGCACTCAGAAATACGAAATTTTGCATGAATTATTTTTTTGCGCAAATGCGACGCAAAACAGAGTTATATGTGTTATTCGCTACCCGAGGCATCTGAGTCAAATAAAGGTGGGAAAAGGGCTAAGGACTCTTGTGGCACATTTGCAATGCAGGTTGGTTGGACAGAAACAAATGGCTTGACGTTGAAAAGCAATGCCAGGTAGTGCCTAACATTGCTCATTATTTTTCTTCTACGCCGGTGAGAACGAGGACATATTCCCTTATTCCCGTTCTGCTGACGAGATCTCCACACCAATGGGAGTCTGTTACCAAATAAGACCTAATCACCGACCTTTCATTCTGCTTGGCCGCAAGCTATAGACACTTTTTTCAGTTGGCTGGCCTTATACAAGTGAACTGTATAGTCCGTCTGCCAAGGCTTCTTTGTTCATCAGGAAGCTCAATACTTAGGCTTACCTACAGGGGTGCTTGCGCAGCTCATTGACTCGATTCACATTGTCGCAAGTAAGGACCTAGTTTACTATCAGGCCGAGCTTCCTTCTATAATCTGCTTAGTTTTATGGTTAGGTGCTGGAGTAGAAGCAAATGATGTTATTTGCAGGTACACATGAAAGGAGGACAAGCATGTCAGAACGAGGAATCGGACATTATAAGAGAATATACATAACACCTCCATCCTAATTTTTTCTACGTTTTAAAGGCGCTTGCCACTGCTTACAATGGACACGAGATTGGCTTCAGATTTCGAAGGCTTCCACGTATCCCTCAATGATTCTAGTTATGCTGGTTTGCTGGTTTTTCGAGTTAATAAAGAAGTGATCAACGCAAACTTTGCCACTTGATGACGCTACTCATTAAATCGTGATCTTTTTTGTAAAGACCGTTGGTCAGCTCAGTTCAGCATCGAACGCTTCTGCATTGCTTCGAGGTACATAGCTGTTGTGTCGGAATCCTAAAAGATTTCATATACTGTGAGGACATGTCGCGCATAACCGGTCCAAATATTGAGGGTCCTGGCCTATAATTTAATACTCGAAATGTTAAACGCATAGTAGATGATACCAGCATGCGTCCCTCACGGCTTCTACCCCTTTTCACCTTTTGCCTGGGGGCCTTGGGTTCAGGAATTGGAAGTGCCTTCACTTTCATTTTTTAGGTAAGGACGATCACAGTTAGATTGAGGGGTCTGCCGGGTCCGCTCAAACGCACCACTCGTCCATGTACTTGTGATATTTGCATTGCGTAGATAGCTCTAATGCTAAATATCAAATCCTGATCAAGACGCCTGCGGATGCTAAAGTAAGAAAGCCAGGCAATGATGAGACGGTATTTGGCGCCTGTTCTAGCCATGTGGATTTTACATTTGCCTGTCAGTGGAACTAGCACGTGGCACATCTTCATCATGTAATTGGAGTACAGGCGAAATTATTACATGAAGCATTCGTTCGACGTACTTTACTTGCATTTGAGAGAGGACGCGGTATACTGCTGTCGCGGTTTAGATGAGCACACAGTTGGATTAATGACCGCTACCGTCCCATAGTTGCAGGCTACTTAACTGATTTGCATTGACCTCTCCAAGTGGCAGCCTAACTGTCAACTCCATTCCCCATCAGGCGATTGATCAACGAAACCTCTTGAAGGTGGGAGGAAAAGTAGTTGTGGAGCACTGGTAACACCAATTTAAATAGCTGCACTTTTGCTGGTCATCCCATTTCCCTCAGAGATGAGTAATGCATCATAAAACATTCAACTACCTATGTAGACAATGAAAGACGTAACTAATCCAATGTTGCTTTACTCCATTTCAAGCAGCATATGTTTGGTTTTTTTGAGCCTTTTAGGCCGAACTTACCCGACATTTCCCCATTACTTTAACACAAACCTGAAATTCTGGCTCCATGGATAAATACCTGGAAACCTACAGCACATATTTTGAGTTACCATGTTTACTGACGAAACGTAGTAGTGCACTATTAATAAGACATCAACAACTTCACGAATTAATATTGCGAAAGCGTGATTTTGTCTGACGTAGTCAACGATTTTTTTATGAATTGTACGATAAGTCGTCATGTCATTTCGTTCGGGACTCTTCGATTGATTGCAGACCTACAGTAGCAAAATTAACAAATGCTTAGAGTGAATAAATATCGATGATTTATAACCAATTCTGACCTAAAATTTTATTTAATAGACTGGATCTTGCAAGCGATTTCTAGCAGTTTTAAAAAATGAACTTAAATGGTACAAATAAACACTGCGATTAATTGCAACAACTAACATTATCATCTAATTTGTTATGAAAATGATTAGACAATTGTATACCAGAAAGTACAACCTGTCAATGCTCTTCAGAGGGACATTCACGTTGTCTTTTGTAAGACTAACTTGTTTCAATTATTATTTAGTCCTACGTTTTGTGGACGTATTGCATCTGCTGAAGCATATTTTGCTTGTCAAAATAGCTGGCGGTTTAATGCATTTTTTAAACATAACTTCATATTTCTACCCAAGGAGCAAACTCTGCCAACTTTTGTGATGGTAACTTTAGGTTGATGCACCATAATCAAAGTACAGTAATTTGAATAACTCATATAAGTTCATTTACATCACAGCATGTACAGCAGCCGGAATATGAATCCAGATTTAAGTAGGAAGATGGGGAAAGAGGGACAAATCCGTTTTAAGAAGCAGTCAGATGAGGAAACGGTTGCACTAATAGTAGTAGTGAATTACATCAAATGTGAATGCGATTTGGACAAGTTGTTTTCGCGAAAGTATCGGTTTTCGAATGAATTCCTTTCTAATAATTGAAATGTGGAACATTCAGCTTGAAACCTGTTCACTACTGGTATGTGTAGTGAACCGTATCATCCCAACTGCATATCATTAACCATGAGAATATTTGCACAAAGCATGGCCGCTTAGTAAAACACACAAATTCATGTGCTATTATTCAGTTCAAAAGCCGCACTAAATTTTCCTTCTTGGCCTTTCTCTGGTGGCTTAATATTACTGCCTCATTCACAGGAAAGCAACATAGAATCGGATGCTTAATCATTTAGTTATTGTTAATGACAATCAGAACTAGTAACATCTAATTGGAATTTAGGCCATGAAAATTTGGAAGAGAGCATGTACATCATCAACTAGCTTCGCCAACCCCATGTAAGTTGGATGCTCCTTCATATACTTAAATGTAGTGCGATAAGCAGAGTCGTTGTCATAGCTTACCATAGAGATTCTTTCCTCACCACTCAATGTCGTCGTCATCGGACTCCACACAACGGTGTCAGGCGGTCAGATCGCATCCCTATAGAATGCTATAGATGGGAACTGCAAGCATGCAAAAATGTAGATGATTAGCAGTATGCAGAAGAAGCAGAATAAAGGCTGGAGTGCGTATGGATAAAAGAGATGCTTACAAATATTTTTGAGATTTTAATGGAAGAGAATTATTCCAATAGTAGGCAGCATTCAGTAGCTATTATGAAAAAGGAGATAATGGATATTGACTGGCTGAGCGATGAGCGTTTCGATGGCAGTCGCGGTTTTGGATACGGACTGGAGTAGTGAAGGTGGTGGAGGAAAATGAGGATGTAGAGGCAGAAGAGAATAAGAGATCATAGGCTGCCGTGGAGAAGAATGCTTAACAGGGGAATAGGATTTCTATGTCAGCGCTATTTGAGATCGCCACGACGGCAGTAGTGGTGATTGTAGAGATGGTGGCGGTAAGACTAGAAGATGTCCACTTCCAGGTGCAAAGGCATCCATAATTAAAAAGAACTCAAACCCTAAAAGCGCCGAGTCAGTATGAAACTGAGTTACTCATAAAAGCTGGACAATGCGGTTGCCTAGTGCACTACTGGTGGTAGACATAAAACGGAATGAAGTATTATGGAGACTTGTTAATGGAGTTTCAATCAGAGTGGCGAATTTCGGGTGTGTTACGGGTAACTCAAAGGCGATTTGCCTTCCTTAGAAGCAAAATTTGGAAGTGTAGTTTATTTATAGCGTTAGTGATTAAGGAGGCGAATTATTAATTAGTCAATTGGCAATGATGATACCCTGGAAGAAGGACGGCTCCAAAAGAAAACTGTGGTTTGTTGTGGATGGATTTAAGCGTAAAATGTAACGTCCTTTTGAACAGTCAGGTAATTAGTGTAGGAAAATCTAAGGATGGAATAGCTGCGCGTTAGAGGTAAATCAAGAGCTGCAAAGGGCATTTTCTGTTTTTATTTGCCGTCTTTAGACCTTTCATGCGTTAGTACTAACAGTTTACCTCCATATTAGTCGAGATTAATACATCATACACATACTCCACAAGACAACCGTGAATTACACGGCACTAGATAAGGCTAGGCTGGTATAGCAGATTGTTGCACAGTTAATTTGGCTAGATTGCTGATTTTGTCATATTTTTGGGGTGGGGGATTCAGCTAAAATATACCTAGTCACATTTTCTTATATGTAATTACCTTAGTTGTCAGTGCTCCTCAGCTTTCCTCAAAATAGACATTTCAGGTGTGGTTATTTTATGTTAATAATATTCTGCAGCAATGTGAACAAAGGTAACAATTGCTACTTAAAACAGTTCAGGTCCACTTTACTTTACGGATTGTAAGTTTGAGGACGTTGACCATTATTATGATTGTTAGCAAAGCGAGCCTCTGTGTAATCACTGACATTGATTTTTCACCTCATTTACATTCAAACTTTCTGCAGAACCATTGAAGTCCTCAATGCAGTTATTTGTACTAGAGAGAAGTTGACCATTTGCCTTCGTTGGTTGGGTGGCCACAAGTCGGTGAGTTGAGGTGCACATTCTCAAGTTATCCCTTGTTATCTTGCCAAAGACCTTGGAAAAAATATCGAGAAAAGCTTTTAGTGTTCTCACCAAATTGATAGCCACGCAAATTTATGAGTTCGCGCTACATAAAGTAGAATAGGTTAGTGCGGGTAGAGGGGTGATATTTATTTATTAACTTTTGGCCGGTCAAATAAAACCGGCAATTAAAAGGCAATGACACGATATAAACAAATTCTTTGGACATGGGCATTTGATAAGAGAGTGCTTTACTTGTTTATGAAATACCTGGTATCATCCAGCACTAGATGTCCTGCAACGTGCTTCGTCTTTCCCTTTCCCACTCAAAACTTATCGGTGGTGGAGCATCAAAGAGATGTGAAAACGGTTTCACAAATGACCGCATCTAGATGGGTGGAAGGAGCTGAGATAGGGATAAGAACTCAAAAGGGTTAGAAAAGTAATTGACTTCAGTGAATGGATGCATTCAAAGAGGAATGAGTCTAGTGTCAAGTTTCTGAATCACCGACCGCAATCATTATCATGTACACCTCAGTTTTCAACTCCTCTTCACAAACTTCTCCTCACAAGGCTCCGACTGTCGACAATAAGGCATAAGTATTGAGCCAACTTACATTGTAAGAAGTTGAGACGCATACAAATAAACACATTTTTTGTAAAATTCCCTAAAAGGAAGGCAAAAATTGCAGAGAATATAAAAATTTTCTGATGAAAAATAGCTCTTAAAGATGGCGAATCCTCTCCCCACTCCCGCCTACCCGTCCATCATTTCATGAGTACCACATCCAGTTCCACCATCTCACTTACCGATTTTCCATGCAGGTAGGAATATACTTGACGGGGCTTTCAATGATCCTTTTTGGTTATCCTGGTGGATCTGCAGTTTACTCCCCTATGGACCCGCATTCGGTGAAGGGGACATGTATTAGCCACCACGCGTGGCCATATCTGGTTGTAGGACCACTGGCCTACAAGCAACAAAAGAAGGTCTCCTGTAATGTAACAGAATAATTAAGCCCTGAAATGACTAACAGTCAGAAATCGGCTGACGCATCCACCTACTCACCCACTGCCTGCACCGCAGCCACGTGACAAGCCTAGCCACTTGCCTTAGACCAGCAATAAACTTCTTGGCATCAACTCGCAGACGGCCGTTAAAACACACAAACAGGCAAATCTCGACATCACACAAATGTATATAGGATAAATTGAAAATACTAGAATGCAGGGAAGCAAGCTAGGTATGGAGTTATTAAGTATTTTCAGCTACTCCTACAAATTTATCACGACTGGGCATCAAGTCATCGCATTTACCAAAGCGCACATTTATGTAGACGTCATGGAAAATTCCTCCTAGGAAAAGCCATTTATGCGGTTAGTGCAGTAGAGCCTTCAATTTTCTATCAGGTGAATAATATAAATTGTAAAAAGATGAGGTGTCGCAAAAATTAGTAGCCAAACGATTGTTACGATTGTTGTTTCCTTCACACTGAATACTTCTAATGCAACTACAAACAAGAACAAGGGGAAAATGGCTACTTTGCGCTACACTTAGAGAAGGTCAACACAACACCGATCACTGAAGTTCCAACTTGTGGTTTGGAATTCAATAACCAATCGGAGTACGATGTCACTTATATGCATGATAAATTCTGCTAACAAAGATGACATGAGAACATAAATAATGCAACATTACATGTAATGTAATATCACATTGCAAATGATAGGAAATCTAAACACTTGGCTATGACACATCACTATTCTGTTATATTTTTTGTACAAAATTGTACTGCTTATGCCGTCAAAATGTGCTTCTTTAGTAAAAGCTGCTTTTAAATTTTAAAAAACCTTTTCTTAAATACCAAATTTTGTGTATGACTACATTGGCAGGTCAAATCTTCTCAATACCGCCGTTGGGCAAAGTGGTGTTTT